GAGGGGGAAGCGAAGCAGACTTCCCGCTGAGCAGGGAGCCCGATCCCAGGACCCTGGGATCATGACCTGAGCCGAAGGCAGACGCTTAACGACTGAGCCACCCAGGCGCCCCTAAACAAGTTTTTATTAACATGGCCCCAAGTATACAGGCTTTTAAGGAATTTTTTTTTTTCTGTTTATTAATCGTTATCCCCCTAGCTAAGGATCTATTTCCTCTGGGTTCCTCTACAGACATCCACTTCCTAGACCCATAGCTACAGAAGAGTATAGTGATGGTGTTGGTGTTTTCTGCTGTCACAATCCAGTGGTATTGTTGGCTAATTTTTATGGCTATATTGCTACTGATTGCATTGCTCCTGGCTGTGTAAATTTGCCATTAGAAGGCTCTTGTAAGATCAATTGAAATCACTTGTTAACCCGGTTGATTAATGCAAAAAAATGCAGAGGACAATAATGCTAAAATGCTAAATATTCTAACTAAACCAGCATATAATGGTAAGAGCCCATATTTATATAGCTCAGAAAGGGCACAGTGATCCCAAACAGCTTGTTGTACTGCTCTGAGTTTACCTAGAAATACTGCAATTTAGTTGTATATGTGAGTATTGGTAAAGCCAAACTCTCCTGTTATGAAAATGTAGTCTGTCCTAGTGACTGGCTATATTAGTCAGGGTTCTCAAGAGAAACAGAACTACTAGGAGATATAAATAGATATGTAGATAGATATATAGGTATATTTATAAACAGAGAGAAGAGGGAGAGGGAGAGAGAGACAAGAGGGAGAGAAAAACGGTTTTAAGGAATTAGCCCACAGAATTGGTGATGGCAGGTGAGGTGGAGGGGCACTGGTGAGTCTGAAATCAGTCAGCAGGCTGGAAATTCAGGAGCCAAAGTTGCATTTTTCCTTCCTAATTCTCCAGGGCAGCCAGGCAGGTTGAAAATTTAGGGAAGCCTTCTATGTTGCAGTCTTAAATTCAAATTCCTTCCTTCTAGGGGAACTTCAGTCTTTGTTCTTAAGCCTTCAACTGTTTGAATGAGGCCCACCCACATTACAGGGAGTCATCTAATCTATTCAAAGTCTATTGGTTTAAATATTAATCACAGAGAAAAAATAACTTTACAACAACATCGAGACTGCCCCTGGACTAAACACTAGGCACTATGGCCTAGCCAGGTTAACACTTAAAATTAAGCCTCACGCCAGCCTACTGGATACCTAGACTTGAAGTATTGGGTTAACAATTTTGTATTACGTTATATTGGGATTATGACTCAGTATATTCTACCCCACAGGCTAAAATTACTTACAGACTAACTTGTAGATACCTTAAGCTTTCAAAAGGAGTCACATCTGTATACTACAACTTGGCTAAACAGAATCGAACTTCTTAAATTCTTGAGTATCAAACACCACTGAGGATAATATATATAACTGTTGGAATTCAAAATGCTAATAATAGTACCCAAAGTAAATAGTAAATAGTAAGGAGTACCCAAGGTAAACAATGAAAATTAAAATTTTCTCATCAACTTCATTTTTGAAGGTATTAGATTACAGTTTATTGGCAGAAATTTACCTATCTCTGTACTGAAATGATCCAAGATAGGATTCATATACTTTTATTTGAGAGTCTAGATTTCCTCTCAGAAGATCAAACTTCCCTGCTTTGATAAATATGAGTGAAGACCGACCATTAATGCTTGAGCCAATTTATGATAGCACTGATAATATCAGAATAGAGAAAAGTTGAATTTTATCATATCTAATATATAAGTATGTGGGTTATCTGCATTTTTTTAAGGACTCAAGTGGTAATTCTCCTGAGTTTAAGAAAGTGTTAGACTGAAGGCATTGACAAATCTCTAGGGCCTTTCAATTTGATCTGAAAAAAAAAATGATGAGCTACAAGCATCAATAATAGAAAAATGTGTTGTAGTCTAGAAATGAAGTATTTAAATAAGTCAATTTGTTAGGGGTCATTGTGTCAACATTTACATACAAATATATATGGCTCTACATATCCAAAAAGAAGTAAACAACTAGTAAAATCCATTTATATTAATAACATTTGACCTTATAAAATTAAGCTAGGGCTGAGTTATTCTGGCTTTGTGACTTGACTTTCTATAGTATTGTGTGTTTGAAAAATAGAAAAGCTCTTCAAATATGATTGAGCTAATTAAAAAAATTGAGAATTCCAAATATACCTACATATCTCTAGCAACCTTCCTTTTATAAGGTAGAGTAAAGCTTTGGTGCTACCTAGCATCTGTCCGGGAAGTGATAAGGATGATTTAAGAGTAAAAGACACATTGGCAGTTTTATTATTCTTAATTTAGGGCCTTATGTAGGAGGACATAAAAAGGGATGTTAGAAGAGATTAATTACTGATTAAAATTCAAGTGCAGGTGCATAAGAACAAGGGATGGCCCTACCCTTGATCTCCTGGTTTTTCAGTGACAATGCAATATTTTAAAATAAACATTGCAGAAGGTAGTATAACAATCATTAACAATTTTGATTCTTCCATAGGTGAGGAATCTTAATTTGATTTAAAAAAAACAGACAAAACAAAAAAGCACAACTATTAACTCTGTCATGTGAATGTAAATAAAACATATATCGTGGCAAGGCAGTTACATGAATAAAAGAGAAAAGAGAAAATGCTTCTTCAGTACCTCATATAGGAGAGTAGGCTCTCTATTTCATGATCATTTCTTTTTAGCTGAGAAAGTATTGGTTGGGTCTTGCTACATAAAGCTGGGTAACAAATGACCATAAAATCCAGTCGGCTAGTGCAGCTTTTCTTATCTCAAGTGGGCTCATTTGCAGGCTGAAGAGTGGGCTGGACTCAGCTGATGGAGGTTGATCTTGGCTGGGAGGGTCTGCTTCTTCGAGGGGCAGGCCTAACTGGTCCTGGCTTCTCGCTGCCATATGCTGGCCTTGGGTCGGTTTCTAGTGTGTTCAGCTGGGGAATTAAGTATAAAGGAGCAGCATCTAGCTTCGGGGAAGCCTTTCTCATGGCAATGCGAGAGGTACGAGAGAACAACTTCACGGAAATATTTGAAGCCTTTCCTGTGTCATGTTTGGGAAGGTAAATCGCAGGGGCTAGCCTAAAGTTGAGGAGTGACTGCGGTGGGAGTCGGAGAGGAAAGCATTTTGCCACCAGGAGGTCTGAAGGGGGAAACCAGTGAGTTTCTTTTTCCCACAATGATCTTACCTACTGTGTTCAGTCCTCTTTTCCATGTTCACTTCCTTGTCACCTGCAAAATCCACTGGCCCCATTCCATGATTGCCAGTAGTCTCATCCAATGCCAGTATCAGGTTGAAATCCAGGATTTCATGATCTATGTGTCTTGGAGTATTTACCTTTTTTTTTTTTTTGAGTATTTACTTTTTAAATGAAGACCTATGATATATAGGAACAGTTATGTTTGTCTCCTGAACACCTATGGTAGAATGCTGAAACGAAAAAAGATAAAAGTAATGAAGACTTCTTTTTGGAGAAAGGAAACATAGTCACTTTTTTTTTTTATGGCAAGTTCAAAATCTCACGGAGGAAATGTCAGGTCTCTCTAATCCAGTTTTAGGAAACATACCTTGGTTAGGCTGTGTAGTAGTGACTCCCTAGCCTTTTCTTCTTTAGTCCATTACCCTGCTTTCTGGAAGTTTCTTTAATTATTCTGCCTGCTTATATATGAAAGGTTTTATTTTTATTTATTTATTTTTTTAAAGTATCTATATTTAAAAGTGATGTTTGTTATGATTTTTTTTTTACCTCAAACAAATTTTTCCTGAAAAATTCTGGCTGGCTGAGGTGATTGATATTCATCACGAAAATTGGAAAAATCCATTTTGTCTGTTAAAAACACCTGCACAATTAAGAGGACAGAGGAAACTATGCAAGACTCCCACCCTATTCACATGAGACAGATTACGTACCAACTTCACACAACCTGCGTGAAAGTAAATTAATAAATTAATAGAACACTAATGAGTGATCCAGACACCCTGGCTCCCATGCTCAGACCACAAATCATGAGCATCAGTGGAAAAAAAAGTCAGTTCCAGAGAAGTCTGTGGGAGACAGTAGGGGAAGCGAGCAGAGGCCTGAACCACCATCAGAGGAGAGAGTCCCTGAGCGTGAAGCCACAGGACAGCCCGGGGGAGACCCGAGCCCTGACCACAGGACGGGCATCCAGGGCGAGCAGGAGGGACACCGGAGGACTCGGGGGCTGTGCTGTGGGCAGATGGGGTGCGAATGTGAGGAGGGGAGCCCTGGGAACACCTCAGCGATGGGGAAAAGGGGGAAGGGGACATTTAGCATCTGCCAGGCACAGGGGACTAGGAAAAAGGGAAAGGAAGCACAGCCGACCTCCCACCACAAGGAAAGCAAGAATGCATGAGACAAAAACTTGAAAAATGGTCTGATTACACATAATATTATTTTCATAACACAATAAACAACCACTGGCTAATGTATTGAACAAAATGGGAGCACGCACAAATGTACAGATTAAAAAAAAAAGTGACAAATAGACCAATATGGCAAAATAAATTATGCTCATTTCAACATCCTATATATTAAAATTGGAAGATTAGCAAGGCCTCCGCACAAGGGTGACGTGTACATCCCTGAAGCGATCAGCATATTGACCGATGGCGGAGCTGACGTCCCCACAGCAACGCACACGCTCCTCAGGCCGGTGAATGGAGCGCTGCCAAGGGCACCTGTTCCGGGGTTCAGTCCCTGTGAAATGTGCACAGTAGGGAGCTCACTGCAGACAGGAGGGAATTGGGGGCCACAGAGGGCTGAGTGCAGGGGGACCCTGGCCTGACTGCTGGTGGGAGGGAAGGGGGTTTTCTCTGCAGGTGATGGAAATGTTATTTCGATCATGGGGGTGGTGGCCGAACCCCCTACGCATATTAAAAGTTACTGCATATTTAGTTTTTTTAATTTACCCCAGATCCTGAGGCATGTGCAGGTGGGCTCTATCCGTCACCCAGGTGTTCTACTGGGACACCTGTGCTGGCTCAGGCCACAGCATAGTCTGTGTGTCTGTCCTTCCTCCTCAAGGACAGGTCTCCTCACAGAGGACACTCCCCTACAGAAGCCTCCACAGAAGCTTCTCAATAAAAGAAACTCAGAAACAAGAGCCGTGGGTCCAGAACTTTTAGACCCACTTCCTCCTTCTCTGAGACGCTGTGAGGAGCGGCAGCTGCTCCCACTGCAGTGAGCTGTAGCCCAGTGAGAGTCCGCCTCGGCCTCAGCCTGGAGCCCCAAGATGCGCAGAAGCCCCTCATTGGCCGAGGCGTCTTTGGAGCCCGAGAAGCGGCCGGGGACCCCGGAGCCCTGGTGCTTATCGGAGTCTGAGGAGTAGTACAGCAGATCCCGGGGAGGGCTCCCTGGCTGCTGCTGGATCCAGTAGATGTTAGAGCCGCCAACACCGATGTCCCTGCTCAGGGTGCAGGTGAGTCTGGCCGTTGTTCCCGGAGATGCAGGGGTGGGGAGCGGCTGGGTCAGCATGGGCTGGGACAGGGAACCTTCTAGTAAGTGGTCGCTTCTCTGTTCAGAGAGTTGTTGCTGTTCTTTTCTTCGATCTCCTGTTGAGTTCGTGAGGTGTTCAGAATGGTTTGATCCCTATCCAGCTGAATTCCTGAGACCAGACGAAATCCAGGTCCCCTACTCCTCCGCCATCTTGCTCCGCCAACCGACTACATTGTTCACATTTAATAAATGTTTATATAATGGTTATAGATTAAGTACAATTTTATAACGTGATATTTATAATTATTTATAATAAATGTCACATATACTTATATATTTTTTCCTTGTCCCCCTAACAAGGACCCCGATGCCCTGGACAGCAGAGTACCACAGTCTGGCCCTGGAAGGAAAGCTGGAGGCTCTCTATATAGAAAGGTTTTAAAATAATATCTCCCTATTGGCAATGGGCCTATTTTCTCAACCCACTTTTTGTTATGTAGAAATTTAGGTGCCAGAAGTCTTTTATCTTAATCTCATTCTCTTTTATTCCAGCCTCTCTCAAAAACTTTAAAATGTAAAGGGCATATTATTTTAATTAATGCAAAAGCCGCACAATAACTCATAGATATGCCTCTCCATACATACTTAATTATGGGTATTTTGGTAGATTAGGCTTTGGGGGATGATGTTCTTAATCTTTTTATAAGTAATTTTTAGTAGGTAAGAAGTTCTAACAGGGATAACCATAGCTCTTTAAGAGATCTTAATACAAGCAGAATGGCCTGCCCTTGGCTTGGTCTATGCTCGCTTACTATATCTTAATGCCCTTAATATTTCTCTAGGCTACTCTTAATTTGAGAATCTTCTGTATTGGAAATACTGGTGTTATGAATTGAATTGTGTCCTCAAAAAAGATATGTTGAAGTTCTAGCCTCCCATACTTCAGAATGTGATCTTATTTGGAAATAGGTTTTACAGACGTAATTAAGTTAAAATGAAATCATTAAGGTGGACCCTAATCCAGTATGACAGGAGTCCTTATAAAAAGGTGACATTTGACACAGATGCAGACATACACAGAGAAAAGACTATGAGAAAAGACACAGAGAGAATGTCTGCTGAAGATTGGAACTATGCTAGCACAAGTCAGTGAATGGGGTCCAAGAAGATGCAAGAGGCAAGGAAGGACCCTTCCCCTACAGGTTTTTGGGTCCCCGGACAGTTGGATTTCAGACTTCTGGTCTCCAGAACTGTGATGCAATAAATTTCTGTTGTTCTAAATCAATTAGTTCATGGTATTTTGTTACACAAAATAGAAAGCTAATATAATTAGAGATAAGAAAGAATTTTACTTTTCAACCCCCAGGGTCTTAGTTCTTCATATTTTCTCTTAATTCTGTTAGCCAACCCCCCGCCCCTCCCCTTCCGGCCAAGTACTTCTTCTAGACCCATTTTTCTTATAGTATCTGATCAAATGCAGTGTTTTACTGGAAAAAAGAAAGAAAAGGAATTCACGTACTATGGTCAAATTCAAATAGTGTCTTCAATAATACTCAAAAGGCCTAGTCCCAATGTTAGTGGGACCTTGAAAACTAAACCAGAAAATTTTTATAAGCCCTCAAAATTTTCCCCTTTTCATTATTTGGAGTATAATTCTACCTCTACAAACTATGACCAAAATACTTAAGCCCTATATATAGCTAACACTGCTCACTAAGTTTGAGATGCAATCAATTATACTAACTAAGAATATAGGCTCTGGAACAAAACTCTACACTTACTAAATGTGTGGTCATCTGCTAGTTAGTTCTCTGTGTTTCAGTTTCTTCTTTAAAACCAAGTTAACTGTATCTTCCTTATAGGATTATTTCCAGCTTCAGTGAACATTGACACATCAGGTGTTCACCCACTGTGAATTGTTATGATTCATATTAGTCATACCGTATGTTCTTACCCCAACTTCAAAAATGAATAGAAAACACTAAGCATGAAGTTACTCAAAAATTTGATATAAGTCTGTCCTTCCCTCCTGCTTTCCCATGGAAGAAGTTTCACTGTATTTTTATTTTATAACCCTTTGAATTTGAACACATTTCTCTTGTTTAAGTTCCTTTTTCAGACCAAATTGCTGGAAAGAATTACCTCCACTTGTTATTTTCCTTTCCACTCAGCCTAACCCCGTCTGGCTTCTTCCTCTGCTCCATCTTTCGAATACACATGATGCCACAGTTGATTTTCTAAGGCTCTTTGACACATTTCACTGTTTTACACTTTCCTCTTAACAGTCTGAAGGGGCAAGAGAGTGCCACCAGTTCGAGGTTGAGGGCGGAGGATAGACTCAAAAACTTACAAAAGGAACGTGACCTACATTATACAATAGTATACTGTAAAATTCAGTCCTTATGGCAGATTCCCTGGAAAAATAAGCAAACAAAAAACATGTGTGCACGGGACCACCAACACTTGAGCTGTTTCACTGAGGGGACTCTGGTGGAATTATAACAGCGTTTCTCTTCCGACCACCAGTATATGCTCACCTCCAATACTAGTGCACAGGGTAAGAACGGTACTTCAGATCGATGTTCCCTTCAAGGATGGACTTTTTGCCTTTAAATATGTAGTATTTACTGAATTTAAAAAGAGGAGAGCTTTGGAACTGACATGATTAATTTCTCAATTCTCTTTTGGATTTTAAAGCCTGTGATATTTATTTTCTACTTTTCTATCACAAATCCTATTGTACCTGTTCTTAGCTTTAGGCTTTATCTGTTTGTCAGGACAGAATTTCTCTTCTCTTTGCTACTGCACTAGCTTCTTGTTTTCATTGCCCCTTTTTCCCTGCAGCTGAAAAATAAACCACGTTAGGCTGCACACTCTAGCAACCTATTTTCTCTCAAGACTTGCCACTAAAAGAATGTAGGAGGGTACTAAATTAGCAACAAGATCTTCCTCCTCCTTTTCTTCATCAAAAAGCATTTTATTCATTCCTACCATGGTCTTTGGCACTGTGGAAGATAAGGCACCATGATAGAGACCCCAACATATATGTTCATACAAAGAGCTTATTTCCATTATTTGAACTCAGTCATTCTTGAATTTAAAGAAAGAAAGGGGAAAAAAGCTGCTCTTCTTCATATTTGGACACGCCAAAAATAAATTCATTCATTTCCTGAGTGTTCCATGGACACAAAATATAGTCCTTACTTCTATATATATATTTAGTTCAGATAAAGCTAATAAATGAGCAAAACCTTCTGTTTCAGAGCCAAAACGAGTGACACCAGTTAAATCTAGAGAGCTAAAGTTACTACTACTTCTTTTTTTTTAAAAACGCATGGGCATGCTTTCTTTTTTTTCTTTTTTTTTCTTTTTTTTTATTATGTTATGTTAATCACCATACATTACATCATTAGTTTTTGATGTAGTGTTCCATGATTCATTCTATAGTTAGTAAGGAGAATGCTAATTTAGTGATAACTATGATATCTTAATGAGAAATCCTGTCATTTTCTCTTCTAAATGCTACCTTTCAACTTATGTTTCAATCCTGGATGTATGGGGCTTTATTTTTAAAACATACAGAAATATAATGTCAATAGCAAAAACCACGTATTTTCTATTCATTCTGTAAACAAATTCTATGTCAAGAAAAGGGGACCTATTTAAAAAGCACTTTCAAGTTTGCAAAATTGCATAACTTATGATCTTCTTGTTCTGGAGTAAAATGTTTTTAAATTTAATGCACACCTGACAAACTCTAATTCTGTCACTCTGTAGAGACACTTCTCAGATTGTACTTTGTAAAGAGTATTTATCTTTCCTTTTAGATGAAAACCAGTGCTAATTGAGGCAAAGGTGAGGCAAAGGTGAAGCTTAAGTTTCTTGTTCCTCAAATTCTGATCTTTCCTTATTCCAAACAAACAATTGCTCTATGAAAATTGTGTGAAACGGGCAACTCTGAGATTTTATTGGTATGGAGTTTAGAGTTATATCTTTTTCTTCTAATCTCTAAAGCAATAATTTATTTTTCCTCAGTTTAACTTCATTTATTAATCTGCCTACTACATGGAGTATCTCCTTTTTTCATACCAATCTCTAGCCATAACCATCTTGGCATGTTTCAGAACTATCCAGGGGTGACTCCCTTCACTACCTCCTGGTTTGTTCCAGCTTCTTCTCTTTTTTTTTTTTTTTTAATTTTATTTATTTATTTGAGAGAGTGTTAGAGAGCAGAAGCGGGGGAGAGGGAGAAACAGGATCCCTGCTGAGCATGGAGCCCAACTCTGAGTTGGAACTCAGAACCCTGGGATCATGGCCTGAGCCCAAAGCAGCTGCTTAAGCAACTGAGCCAACCAGGTGTCCCTTGTTCCGGTTTCTTGATCTTAACTAGTTCTCTTTCCCTCTTTTCATTTTGACTTTCCTGAAATATATCCTATAGTATCTTTCATTAAAAAAAAGTGAACAAAAATAACCTTTCTGTGTTCTTACATGTTTGAAAATGTTTTCTTCTAGCAACTTGGCTGAATATAAAATTTGTCAAATGAACATTATTTTCCATCCCTTTGAAGGCAACTGCTGTTGTATTCAGTATTAGTAGGAAGAAATCTGGTGAGTGTACAATTACTAATCCTTGGAAGCAATTTTTTTTTCCATTTTTTTGTAAGCATTTAGCATCCGTTTGTCTTTGGAATTTTGATCTTTCCCAAGAGCAAGTCTAGTTATAGTCTCTTTAATTTATCCTGCCTTACATTTGATAAGCAATTGTTTTTAAGTAATCTCTCCATACAACGTGGGGCTCAAACTCATGTGTCCTAGATCAAGAGTCTCATGCTCTACTGGTGAGCCAGCCAGGCACCCCCATAAGCAATTTAAGTTTGAAATTCCACCTCTTACTTAAGCTAGAGAAATATTTTTCTTAAAATCTCTTCAACAATTGTTTTCTTCTTCATATTCTGTATGTTTCCCTGGAAACAAATTTACATGCATATTACCATGTCTGGAATTTTCCATCACTACTAGTACTTATTTTGTAGTTTTCATCTATTTCTACTTTTGCACTCCATTTTGGGAACACTCACGGATTTGATCTTTCTGCCAAAAAACGCCCTATTTGGTTAGCTCATTTTGCTAGTCATCATCTATTGAAGATATTATTCTTGTAATTAATATTTCTACTCCTAAATATACTAGATATGCCAGATTACTTGTTTTACAAGCAAGTACCATATCTCTGCATTAAATACAAAAACAACTTATTTCTTTCTCACATCATTCTCTACGGTACAGCCGATGAAGTTTCCCGGTTTCACACAGACACAGGTTATTTCCATTCCTTGGTTCAGCCATTCTTGAGAGTCCTGCAGACTCCACTGGGCCCTCCGCATCTGCTTGGCAACAGCAAAAGAGGGAGAATATGAAGAATCTCAAAATAGGTTTTAGGGGCCAGATGGAAATGTTGGAGCCATGGGAGAAGAAATGAAGTTTCTGATTAGGAAAGGCCTTCTGTTCTAAGAAATTTGGATTTTTCCTGAAGGCAATGAAACTTTGAAGGATGTTAAGATTTTTAGCCAGCACTATCAGTTGTGTGATTTAGAAATATCATTCTGGCTGCTCTGTAAATTATAGATCTCGGTTGAGCAAAGACAACTTTTAAAGGAATGTTGTCAAAAACCAGGTGATAAATCATGGTGTTTTGAACCATAAACATGAACGTGGGTAAGAAGAGAAGTAAGAAACTGAAAAGATGATATTAAGGAAACAACAGGGCCTCGTGATGATTGGGCATTAGTGCAGGGGCAGAAGGAGAAGTCAACACAGGCAAGTTTCTGATTTTCACAACAGGGTGGATTGCATTTGCTAAGGTAGAGGATTTTGCAAGAGAAGCACATTATAGGAAAAAATTTGAGTGTTTTGAGGGATAAATGGAAATGCTCAGTGTGTCTTTGGGTTTGTGGTTTTGTAGCTCAAGAGAGACATAAGAGAGAAAGAAAGACTTAGAAGGCATTACTTTATTAACCCTAATAATGATAAAAGAATAAATAAGACTCAGAGTATCTATTTTCATTATATTCATTGCACTGAGAAAATTATAGCTATTCAATAAGTTTTTCTTTTTTTTAAAGATTTTATTTATTTGAGAGAGAGCAAGTGCGAGCAGGGGTGGAGGGGAGGAGAGGGAGGAGCAGACTCCCTGCTGAGCAGGGAGCCGATGTGGAGCTCGATCCCAGGTCCCCAGGATTGTGACCTGAGCCGAAGGCAGATGCCCAACCGACTGAGCCACCCACGTGCCCCTCAATATGTTTTTTTTTTTCATAAAACAATATGTGAGATAACAGGAATGATGTATAAGAGATTTTGAACATTTTAAAATACTGATGAAGAGCTAGTAAAAAGGAAAGATTGTTATTAAAATAAACTCGTTGTTATTTGGTAAGTAAGGGCAGGTAGAACTCAAAACAGGAGTCAAGGAATTAGTCTTTGGCAATAAAAAGAGAGGTTTCTTTATAGTGATAAAAGAAAAAGATACATTTGCATAAAGACCAATAAGGTTTTGAGAATTAATGCAGTTCTTTTCCCATGGATGACATTTTCTCTGTAAAGTTGAATAGAGACTAGTGGGAAGGGGTATCTGAAAAGTGTGAGTTTTAAAAGAACTGCTGTGGAGATGGAGGAGTAGTAGTCAATGGGGAAGTTATACAGAGCATTCAGTATTTATTTATGAACAGTGCAGATAGTGTTACAAGAACCACACTGTGGTATAACAGGGAAATAGATCTGTCCTAATCAGCAAATCAAAAAAGACTAAACATTATATATAGCCATTGTGGAAGCCTTAGGGAAGAGCAGGTTTTCAGTATGGAGAATATAGGAGAGATAAAGAATAAGCAAAGATGTACAGAAATAGGCAGGTAGATACATTGCCAAATGGTTCATAGATCTATGTGTTTTTAGTTTAGGAGCTGGGAGAGGAAGGGAAGCTAGTCAGTTATTTTGAGGCTAAACCATCTAAATGTCAAACATCTAAATGTCCTGAAAAATTCTGATTTTATTCTGTCAATGCTGATGTTCAAAAACAGCAGCAACAATGATTTATTCTTACTGGATTTGAGAGGGAGAAAAGATAAAGCATCTATTTGAAGATGCATTGGAAATGATTTTGGTACAGGGCACCTGGGTGGCTCAGCCAGTTGGGCATCTGCCTTTGGCTCAGGTCATGATCTCAGGGTCCTGGAATCAGTCCATGTGGAGCCCCCAGTGGAGCCCCTAGTTGGGCTCCCTGGTAGGTGGGGAGTCTGTTTCTCCCTCTGCCCACCCTCCTGCTTCTGTGAGTGCACGCTCTCTCTCAAATAAATAAATAAAATCTTAAATAAGGAAGTGATTTTGGTACTTAAAAAAAAGATACCTTGCTTGAATTTGCTCATGAATCCTCATAAAAATTTTTACTAATTTTATATAATTGTGACCACCAGGAAAATAAAAATAAAAATGCTACCAATGTATTTTCCAAATTTTGGAATAATTTCCACTAACTACGAATTGTACTGGATTTAGTTAAGAAACACCATTGAAATTTCATACATTGGTAACTGTCCTGAGCAGAGGAAATGTGCAAGGAGATTTCTTTTGCCTTTATATATTTTGTAAAAACTATATATCAGAAGTTCTGACCTAACCAAAGCATTCTATTTTAGGGGTGTGGCAACTAGATTGCTAACACCATCTTGTCTTTCTTCTAAAACAGTATCATTTCTACATCCACTGAGGAATAACAAATCCTGGTAAGAAACCAAACTAGAAAAGTAAGGGGACAGGGGCACTTAAAGATAGTTGTATATTTCATTGGGAAACTGGGAATTGGGTTGAAAGCTGAATGCACTCAGCTGTAGGTAATTGATCCCTGAATGAAAAGTTAACTGAAGTCAGGCCGATATATACAATGGGTCCACTAGAAAATATCAGGCTTGTATATCTCTTCTCAATTAATACATGAAATA